AGCGACGCCGCCGACTTGCGGCCGACAGGCGGGCCGCGGGGCGTTACTGATCGCGGAGAAAGTATGGCGGCACGGCGCGGCGCGCGGCTCAGGCAGGAGGTCGGGGGTGTTTGCGGCTAATCTTGTTGGGCTGGCCGCGGGCCGCGCTGGCTCGGGCGGCTGCAGGCAGGGCGGCTGTTTACGAGTGTGCCATTGTGGTGCTCGTGACGGTGCATGTGCGTGCTGCTGCTGCTGCTGCTGCTGCACCACGTCACCACGCCTCTCTCGACAGAGAATGTCGCCTGCATCTGTAAACTTCCTGCTGCTGGTTGGTTCGACGAGGGGGATAAAGCTGAGATGGGGGGGGGGGGGACTTGGGCCCCTCCAAGGCCGCGGTACATACGCGCACAAGTAATAATGCTCCCATTCGGTGGCCGCGCGGCCCCTCGCGATGTACCCGTGTTCGGGTCGGACGTTAGTTGGCCTCCTTACGGATGCTGGGCGCCGCGGCCGCCGCCGTGACCCACTACACACACAGTGGGTACTCGCCGCCAGTGTAGTGCGAGTGAGGCGGGCGCGTTCGCTTCTATTTTTCTTTAGGGCCGCCGCCGCCGCACAGCGGGGCAGAGAGACCGGTACACGATGTACGACTCGCGGCGTGGCGATACCGGTCAGCGATGGGGAAGTCCTGTCCTGTCCACGGTTCTACCTCGTGAGGGATCGCCACACTGCCGCCGCTCGCTTGGGCGAAAGCAGAGCGAAACAGTCAGCGGGGGCCCCGCCCCGCCCTGCCCCGCCTCGCTCCCGTCAGCATTTGCATCCTCATCGAGTGAAAACGGGGACATGACATGAGCAGCAGCAGCACCGCTGACCTGACGTGTTCATTTCTCTGTTGTTGGCGGCGAATGTGTGTGTTGTGTGTGAGAGAGTGTGTGTGTTTGTGACAGGGTTAGCAGCAAGCGATATACGGTGCGCGGTGCAGCACAACAGCAGCAGGTCGGCGGGGTGGGGGAAAGGGAGGGGGGTTAGGATGGATTGGTTTAAAAAGAAAGGTGGCCCCACGGCTCCCGCCTAGGTGTGAGAGATTGTCGATGGGATGAGCGATTGCTGCGGTCCGGCCGGTCGGGGCGGGGCTGCCAGATGGGCGATGGCCTTCCCAACTATGCGATGACCGAACCGATTACACCCGTTCCGTTCCGATCGCGGCCGGTCCATTACAAGGCTGCTATTAGCGGCGCAGGGGCGGCGCGGCGCATGCTAATCCCCCCTGGGAAAGCGAACTGGATGTCGCCGCGCGCCGCTCGAGAGATGACGGATGGCGTACGAGATGCTGGACCCCATTGAGGCGGCGAGCGGCAGTGACGCAAGACGGCGAGGCGAGGCTGCCGCGCACCGCTTCATTCATCTCGCCGCAGCTGTTTAGCTGCAGCAGCTGCAGTGGCAGCTGCAGTGGCAGCTGCACGCGGCGCGCATCTGCATATGTGCCGGCAGCAGAAGGGCGCAGAGCTTCTTCCCACGCGCCGCGGCCGCGACAAGAACACGACGCGCATAAACATCAACAGCAACAGCGGCGGGGCGGGCGGACGCGGACGTGATGGGGGCTGCTTCCTCGTGGCGAAAGGGATGCGCGAGGTGCGCGATGTGGAGTGTACCCACCGCGCGCCGCGGAGGGGCCGCACCGCGTCGTGTTGCCAACTCAAACACATCACGAGCAGCAGCAGCAGCAGCAAAGCGCCCCTTCCATTAATTCCGAAACCGAAATCCGACTCCCTTTGGTCGGCGGCGGCGCAGCGCAGCGCATCCCCCGCGCCTGCCGCACTGGTGGTGGCATGTTGACGGAAAACAAGCCTCAAGGTGAGGGGCGGCCCGCGCGCACCACTCCGTGCACTCGAGTCTCAAGTTTGTCTCTTCCGCGTGCAGATGGTGTGGTGGTTGGGACGCAAATAGGCAAGCGGCGCACTGCGCCATGGACGGACGGGGCCTTGGCTTGGTCCTGATTGGGAACGGAATGGTCACTCGGTTCGTCATCTCGGATTTTCGGGCGGCGCGCGCGGCGCGGTGGCCCTGTCCTTGGCGGTTACTGGCGCTGCTTCTGGCGGTCAGGAGGTCATGACGCGGCGGTCAGTCGCGGTCATTGTCTGCCGATGGTGGCCCGGGCTGGGCCGGCCTGGTCACGGTGCCGCGCGCCTCGCAGCCCATTGTGGGCCCGACTACTGGGAACCTCATTTCCGGCCGTCCAGCGACTCCAGCGCAGCCGATGCCGGTCGCGTATTCCAGACAACTGGAAGCGGGATTGCTCCGCGGGGAGAAAACTCTCGCGGCCGCGCGCGTGTGTGGTCCAGGCTCCGGCCGCGCGGACCGTGTTTTGGACGGCGATTAGCGATCGCGCGGGGCGCGCACGGCTCGCGGCGTACCTGTGCAGTGCGCTGCGCCGCCACCTGTGTTGGCTTTGCGAGCCCCGGGTGGTGCGCGTTGTGCGCGGCCGGTGTTGCCGCTGCCGGCAGTGTCTTTTGATTCGCCGCCGCGCGGTCCTAATTGCCGGCTGCAGTCGAAACGGCGTCGCGGAACGGAACGGAACGCGGTGGCCGGCGGCGCGGCGCAGTGGCTTGGCGATTTGGACAATTGGTGCGTCGTCGCGCTCGTGACTCTGGATTACTTCGGCGCGCGCGGCGCCGGCGCTGGCCGCTCCGGCGGTGGCGGCCTCGCCGTCGGCGGCCTCGACACCCTCCTGACCACGGTGGACACCTTCCTGGTGCGGGGCGCGAGGGTCGCCGTCGAGGCGCGGGCCGCGGTGCGCCGCCGCTGGTTCAGCGACTCTGACCATGACGTAAGGGTAAGGACTCGCCCGGTGATGCAGCCGCTGATGGTTTTATTTTCCAATCCGTCCGTCGAGCCCCGCCAATGAGCTGGGACGGGGAGCTGTCGGCGATGAAGTCGTCAAGCGGACTAACGGACGGCTGGATGGATGGATGGAGCGAAAGTCTTGATGAGTTGGTCACCACCTCGCGCCTGTCATAAACGCCCGGCCCGGGCGGCCGGCGCGTTTTAGGCACTTTCTCGCTGTGACGACACGCATGCGTAAGGGTGGCCGAGGGTGTCGTCGGCGGCGACCTCAGTGGTGAGTGCCCCGACGTGACCGGCGACCTGCATTGCCACGACGGACACCTCTACCTGGGTGACGCGTGTGGTAACTTGCTGCGGCGTGTTCGTTTGTTGAGCCGCGCGTCCCGCGTGTGGTAGCTGCCCGTCGTAGGCTGACGCGGAAGTGACGTGCTCACGGGTCTGATGATGATGATGGCGGTGGTGGTGACTGCGACGACTCCTCTGAACCGCGCGTGCCTCTGCCGGGCGATTAGTTTGTCTCGAGACGAATTACTACCTGCCTTCGCCTGCCTGGCGGCGAAGAGACTCGCTCGGCGTGGTGACCGGCAGATTCGTCTTCAGCGGTGCGACGCCTTGTCGTGGCGTCGCGTCGCTGGCGTCGCGGCGCCCGCGGGGCCCAAGGGCACGGCGTCGTCGGCAGCGCCACGCACCACCGCGCCACGCGAGCGCCTGCCTGCGAATGTACCTTAGCTTTAGAATCCTGCATAACACTGTACTTCTATACTTGACTTGTGCCTCCTCCATCTCGACGCCCCTGCCTACAGTCCTAACCTATAGAAAAACCGTATAGGCCTAGGTCCCTGCCACATGTTGTCTTTTAACCACTCTCTGGTCCACATTTATATTTTTTACGAGCTGGCGACTGTCTCAATTTTACGACGGAGGGTTGCGAGAGTCTGAGTGTGTTTTGCCCCCGGTGCTGTGCGCCACTCGCTTTGCTCTGATTCGATTTACTACTTAGCACGCGAGTGTTTATCGCCGGCCCGACACCTCTCTGCTCTCTTTTTTTTTTGCGTATTTTTGTTTGTTTGTGTGTCTGTCTCTCGCCCACCCCTGCCTCTCCTCCTCGTGCTGCTGCGACGCAAAACAACCCATTGATTGGCTGGCGTGGTCAAGGTCGCCGACGGTACGCCCGTGCGGTACGCCCCGTCAGGACAACGCCGCCACGCCTCGCCACGCCGCTCGATTGGTTCGGCGGCGAACGATCGGGTCTTGGCTGACGCCGCTGACGCGTTCCCGGGCAGGTCATTAAAACGCGTTTTGTGGCGCTTCAGGCTTCAGCCGTCGCCGCCGCCTTCGCCCTGGTGGGCTTGAGTGAGCACCGGGGAAGGCGCGCGGGGGATGCCCCGGCCGCGGGCCATGGCATGGGGGCGGAAGGAGGGGAGGGGGACTGGAGTGGGCGGCCATTTCTTTCTGTTTCACAGCGCGCGAGTTCCCTCTCCCCCCTCCCCCTTTTTCCCTCCCCCGCCCGCGGCTCGTGACTTTGTGGGTTCGTGACGGTGCTGTCACTCTGTGCAATACTGCCCCCCCGTAGTAGGGCCTAAGTGGCCTGCCAGTCCTGTCCGCCCCGCCTGCCCTTCGAACGACTCAAGAGTTTTTATTTTGTTTTTGTGTAAAAGGGGGTCAGCGCACTGCTTTATAAACTTCGGCTGAAAAGGCTCCGAGAAGCCGTCTAATTTGCGGTGCGTCAGCTAATGGAGGAGGGTCGCGGGAAGAGGCGGTCTTGAAGCTGCGTCACTGAGCCCTGTCCGCAGACTTAACTTGCGTTATCGTTTTGTTGCAGAATCATATACACATTTTCACAAACTATAGAGAGGCGTGCGAGTAGAAAAGCGAGGGATACCGGGTGCAGGTGTGGGCATGCAGTCCAGCTCGTGTCTGCTAGTACTAGCACTGCTGACTATTATGTTTTTTCTGCACCGTTTTCCGATGGTAAAAGGCGTGGACGGCATGAGCACTGCTGTGCAGCACCGCGCGGCCGCGCTTTACGGCGTGGGCGGGGGTAGTAGTCGGTGTTTCTTCCCTGCCATGTATACACAACGCGTGCGCGCGCGGCTGCTATGGGGTCCTGGAAGCGCACCGGGCGCGGTTCTTATTTTCTCATTGCTGACATGCAGCACGCGCGCTGCTTTTCTCTCGTTCATGATTCGGGGAAGAGCGCGTAATGTGTGTGTGTGCCTTGTGTGAGTGTGTGTGTGAAATCAGTGGGGGCGGGGGAGGTGGCGGAGTCCGAACCAGGTGTGTTCGCCCCGCCGGAAGTAGCGTCCACTCGAGCGTGGCGCGGCGGGCCCAGTAACGGCCCACCCCGCCGCCCCACCTCGTCCTCCCACCTCACTTCACCCCACCTCACCCCCTTACCGTGCCTTTACCCCACCCCACCCCACCCTCGCCCACTGGGCAGCAAACGGCCGCTGATACGCGCGCCCCTCGCGTGGCGCTGCGCGGTGGGTACCGCGGCGGGTACGCTACGGTGCAGCTACACCTCGCCGTTGTCGCGCTCCACTGCCCCGCGCCGAGGAGCAGGGCCTTACAGCGCCAGGTGGCGGCGCCGCCCGCATGGCGTCCGTCGTGTGCAGGGCAAGGCAGGGCCCCTGGCAGGGGGAGGTCCTTGACCGAGAGGGACGCCGTGGCGCACAGTTACTATACACACAACAAGGGGCTCTTCGTTTCTTTCCGCCGCCGGGCCTGGCTGGGCGCGAACACGCGCCCGATAATCGCCTTAGCACCTCGCCGCGGCCGCGGCCTTGGAGTTGTCCGCGCCGCGCGGCCCCACCAGCCTGGTGCTCTTCTTCCCCGCGGCAACGACTCCGCCGTGTCGTGCGTGGAGCTGCGGGGCCGCTGCCGACTCGTCGTCATCGCTGAGTGGTCCCCTATTTCATCCAACCGGGACTCGGAGTGGGACACGATAGCATCGCGGCGTCCGTCAAATCCAACGCATAAATAAGAGATCCTCTACGTCGATGAACCTGATTGAAAAATTCTCGCGTCGTGCTGCCGCCGGACCTGCCTGGCTGCCTATGAGTGTCTATCTGTCCGTCGTCCGTCCGTGCCTGCTCGCACGCCGTGTTCGTCCGAGGTGCCCCAACGTGGGCAGGGTTTGACGATGTGTCCTACCTCACGGGTGTGACGTCAGTGCCGCTAGCACACACGCCTACCCCATGGCCATGGGAAGGGTTGGTGGGGGTCGGCCGGGCCCGGAGGGCCCCTTTAAATGCTGGCGTCATCCTCGTTACTTCAGGGAATTAACGTCGCTCAGGCTTGTGCTGCTTGTGCGTTGCGTCCCCGCTCGGGGCGGCGGCGGTGGGGCGCTGCGCTGGGACTGAATTAGGACGGCGGACGGCCCAAAAAGGTGCATTCATCAATGCCCCGGGACGAGATGGGACGGGATGGAATGTTTGTGGCCCGTGGCAATGTGTGTGGTGGGGCCCCGGGACACCCCTCGGTGAGGACGGGACGGCCCTTACCCCGCCCCCACCCCAGGCCCGGCCCCCGCCCCCTACGTATCCTGGCGTGCATTGCCACTGCTGCTGCATGTGCCCCCGTGTGGGTACTGTTTGGGGCCCATAGGAATGCGTCGCCGCCGGCTCCGGGGCGGTGCGGTGGCCCGCGCCACGCCACGCTCTACTCTACGGAATCTGCTGCCGCCGCAGCCTCCTCCTGCATGGGGGACGGGCGCCCAAAAGTTTTATACCACGCAGCCGTCGCTGCTGCTCATCTTCCGGGAAATAAAAGGGCAAATGTGGGCGGCGAGGTTTGCGGTGCAGGTCGGCGGCCCGGGCGGGGCGTGCAGGAAGGCGCGGCCCCTCGGCATCTCGCGTGACGGCGCCTCCCCCCAAAAGTATACGGCGCGCGGCTCCGCGACGCCTCGGCGGGCGACTCAGCCGCACCGGTACATGAAAAACGTCGCGTGATTTTATTCTGCGGCATCTCTTCCGTGCGCGCCGCCGACGACGACGTGACTCTCTTGCGGGTCCCTTGACCTTCTTCCCTCCCTCCCGGCCGCGCCGCTCCACGCCACGTCTCTCGTCTCCTCTCCTCGGACATGCACTTGTTGATGGCATCTCTCTCGCCTCTCCGCCGCCGGGTGGGTGGCCCAGGCTGCCCAGGCCCATCAGCAGGGAGGGCCGGGCAGCAGCGTCCTGCCGAGGGTCCCGCCGGGTCCCGCAGGGTCCCGCCCTGTAGGTAGGAGCCCCTCGTCGTGGGCGAAAGGTGATATATATGTATCCGTTCCTCCCCCCCCTCCTCCGCCGCCCCCTCGCCTGCATGGTCGAGTTCAAGGTGCCGCATCCTGCTGGTGCACATACTATTTATACGAGCAGGAGCCCACGGAAAGCTCTGGCCGCGTCGTCTGCTCGCCCATTTAGTAGGTGTAGTGGTATGCAATGCTGGCCCGTTGGTATCGCTTTACACGCACACACATGGGACGTGTGCGTCCTGTCCTGTGTGGGGTCCCCGCCCGGCGCAGCGCGCAGCGGGGAGTCCACGACGACGTCTCATGGCTGGCCCTGTGCAGGCCGCGCTGCAGGCCCCAGTCCACATGTGGCTGCGCTGCGCGTCCCCCGCCTCCTATGAAAGGGCAGCTTTGAGCGGCGCGGGGCGCGGGTGGCTGCGAGGGGGGCGGGGGAGTTCAAAGAGCCAGCAGCCAGCGCAGGCCGTGTGCTGTACCCCGACAAAGCCTCCCCCCTCCCCTCCCTCCTCATGGCTGCATTAATTAAAGTAACGGGCGCACTCGTGTTATTGAGGGCCGCTCCCCGCCTCTCTCTTTCTCTTTCACTCTCCGCCGGGCTCAAGTATATTCAATAAGCTTATGGATGGGTCGGGCCGTTCAGCGGCGCGGATCGATGATCCAACCGAAGCGTCTGCGAAGCATAAATCGACGTATCTACGGGGGTTGTTGTCGGCGGCGGTTGCGTTCTCTGATTGTACATGTGTCTGACTTGTTTTGTGTTTTGTGTGTTTCAGTCGTCTCGGGAGGACAGGTCGTCGTCATGCTCCGGCCCCAACCCCGCGGCCGCGGCCGTGTCGGCCTCGCAGCGGCTGCTGGAGGAGGCGCTGGCCCGGCCCGCGCCCTTCCCCATGATCGTGCTGCCCCCCGAGGGCGGGTCCGGCGGCGGCGGCTCCTCGCCCGCCGGCCGCGGCTACTGGCTGGACGGCGCGGAGCACGAGTGCGCCTTCGACACGATGGGCAACCCCGTGCTGCCGCACGCCGACTGGCGTGCCCACAAGTTCGAGACGGACGAGACGGCGCGCTGCTACCGCCGCTTCTTCGTCGGCAGGGTGAGTCAACGACAGTGTGATGCAGATCAAGTTTGTGGCGCTAGTGCAGGGCGGGGGCCCTTGACCTCGAGTTTTCCTAGAATAGTCATGTTTAGGCGGCATTCCGGCCGATCCGGTCCGGTCCTTGTAAGGCCCTTTTGTCTTGCTCGCTCCGTCCTGCTCTTTGGGGCGCCGCGCCGCCTCTGCTTCCTCCTCCTTTCCGGTCCGTCCGCCCGCTGTCTTCGCTTGTCACCACATTTATATCCGTCTCTTGCTGCTCCTGCTGCTTCTCTTCTTTTTTTTCGTCGCCCATTGGTTCCGCGGCGTGGGCGGGCCTGGCCGGGCCGGCGGCGGTGGGTCCAAGACTGGATTCAAGTTTCGCGATACGCCCCCCTGTCAGTCCGTCTGTTCATTCGTTCCACATGGTAATCCTCGTCTTCCCCTGGGTGCCCCTCCCCCGCCCCCTCTCCTCCGCACTCGTGCGTCAAAGTGACGACACCTCAGAAGAACAGACAGTGGCGGCGGTGGCGGTGGGAAATTTTCAGGGAACCGACGCGGTGCGCTCCATGTGCTGATCCGTCGCACTTTCGGCGATAACTTTCACTCCTAACTCCCCTCTCCCCGTGTACATGCGTTCTTCGGCGACCTGGCGGGGCCGCGTTACCCTGCTGCTTGTCGCCGAGGCGGCCTCCCACTGCTGCTCTGCCGTGTGACGTCGCCTCCAACGCCGTCATTAGGGAGGAAGTAGCGTCGCGGCGCCGCGAAAGTGTGAGAAGAGCGAGCGGCCCCGATGCATTGAGGAACGGCCGTCCAGGGGGAGGGCCAGGCCGCCAGGCCAGGGCCGCCGGGAGGGCCTAGCAACAATGTAGCGGAGCACTCTGCCGCCCCACCGCGCCACGCCCTACACTGGGTGCCCTGGGTGCTGCGGGACGGACAGGACAGGCAAGACCTTTCGTGACGGCGCCTAGCTGCTGGCCAGAGTTGGCCGCACGCCGCACACAGAAACAAACGCCGCACGCCGGACTAAATATTTGAGTCCGCTTTCGAAGTACACGCTTGGTGGCGGCGCCAAGGATGTTGTGTGAGGCGGCGGAGGCGAGGCGAAGGCGGCGACGGGCGAACACTGTTGGGCCTTCCCGCGCGGGGCGGGGCGGGGCGTAGGCTGCGGCGATGGTCTGGATCAATAGAGGGAGGTACTTATTATGTTAACAGGTGTGCGTCATGCTGGCGGTGCGACCGGCCTTGGCGCGGATGTGTGTGCTCGTGCCGAGGGCGCCGGCCCGCCCAGCACCCTGCCCTGCCCTCCTGGACGCCAAGGTCCCTCCCCGTCGCCCGCCCCGCGGCGCCTGCCCTTCCGTCGTGTCGGTGTCGGGGTCGGGTTGGCGGGGCGGCGGTGGGTGAGGCGAGAGGGATGTGTTGGCTCAGGCCCTATCGCGAAGGGCGCGGACCCCGTCGGCCCGAAAAAAGAAATTGATAATTTGGAGGCCGTTATCAGGGCGGAAAGGGGGGTGGTGGAGGGGAGTGTATCACCAGCAGCCCTGCCACGTGGAGGAAACCCGCGCTAATATTTCGTTCGAGATATCGACGTGGACGTGATCCTTTATCACGGGCGGCCGGCCGGACCGGCCGGACACACTGCAACTTCGGTTCCTACCACGCCAAGTCCATGAACTGAAATGTTGCGTACGTCAGTTCGTGTTTTTAACGCGGGTGTGCAAGAATGGGGTTTTAAGAAACAGTTTCACTCAACTCTCTTGAATCAAGAAACAGCCTGAGAGAATGCAGGTGCACCCGGTGCACCTTGCTAGTCACCATCGCCTAGCGGGTACCGGCGCCAAGCAGGAGCTTAAATTAGTAGTGTTAGTGTTTGATCAGGTGCGGTGGGCTGCTCTATTGACTCAGGGAATTCTTCTGAGCTGAGGTATGTCGCTAGGTACCAGGCAGGCACGGTTGGGGTAGGTGACTGTATGGCGGCGGGTGCTGCTGCTCCTGAGCTTTGAAAGTCCGGCCGGCGCCCCGCCGCACTCTGTGCGCAACAGCTCGGCAACAGCTCGCCGCCACGCCACACCGTCTGCGGTATTATTGAGTCATTTCTCGGTCGCCCGCGCGATTTGGGACCGCAGCAGCAGCAGCACCGCGTTCTGATTTGGCGACCTCACCCACCCTCGCCCTCCCCGACCTCCTTCCTTTCCATTCCCGTTCCAATCGCCGCTGTTATTGAATTGAATTGGCTGCCGCTCTGGCCGGCCCGAGTCCCGACCTGGCCCGCCGGCCCGGAGTTTGGACCGACCTGCCTTCTGCTACCCGTAATTCCTCGCATTAGGTCCACTTACCCCCTGGCTCCTGCCGCCGCTGCTGCTGCTGCTCCAGTCCAGTCAAAAGACGACGTCAGTCAAGCAGCGATTGAGCGCGACCGCAGATTTGGCGTGATGCTGCTGGACGAAAATTGCGAATCGTCCGTTCCCTCGCTCGTCGGACGGACGATGTAACTTTTGACAGTTCACCTTGCTTATTTTCATTGTCCGTTTTTGACAAACCAGCTGCTGGTGATTGTCGCGTTTTGACCGCTGAAGGGAATGTGGCTGGAAAACGGGGGGGGGGGTCGTGAGAGAACCTGGCCGAGTGGAATGTGGATTGGGCCGATAGAGGCGCGCCCACGCCGCGGCAGGAAGGCGGTGGAGGTGGAGGAACTTAGAGGGATTTAGGAGCAGAGAGGAAGCCGAGCGGGGGAGGCGGCGGCTGAGCCTCACGCTGATTAAGAAGCGTGTCCGCGCGCCCAATTAAACTGATATTCCTCTCTGGGCCGTGCCCGGCTTCTTATGGCTCATTATTCCATCAGAAACGCATTCAGGTCCGCCGTGGGCCACACGGCTCGTGGCACGTGACTCCGTCCTCGCCCCGCGCTCGCCCCGTGCCACCGTGCTTCTTTTATTTCTTTTCCGGCGCACTGTGTATCTGTTCTCTAGATTTTGGGCTGTAAAACTACCGTTTACAGTATACTGGTGCTGCGTCGTTCTCTTCTTTTTCGTTTTTCTCTGTGCCCTGTGAGATGGAGTGTTACTACGTACAGTACAGGCGCGTACAGAGAGTCAGGCCCGGGATTGGCACTTGTAGAACTGTAATGCGGGTGTACAGCGTTTGTGCATTTCGCGGCGCGCCTCGCCAAGGGCGCCGCCCCCATCGCCGCGGGGGGTCTCCCCCTCCAGAAGGGCGTCGTCGGCGCTGAGGCCGGGTTGAGCCCCTTCGCCGCGTGTAGGTGTGCGTGAGGTGATGGTCGCCCAGGCTCGGCTGTCGCTGCCAGGACACTTCGTGCGATTCTGGTCGATGGTGACCCTCAGCTCTCTGCTGCGGAAACGATAGTTCACGTGCTGCGTGCTTTCGGGATGCTTGCTAGCCAAGTCGATACCAAATTGACGTTTCGCTCCAGGAGGCGTCAACATGCGAACTTGTTTTTGTGTTTTTCTTTCCTGGGCGCAGTGCCCTTCCGTTTGACCTCATAAAGGCTGGCTGCTGCGGGGGTGGCGGTGGGTGGCCAGTGCGAGGTGGTGGCGGGGGCACGCGATTTCTCACTTACATGACATGACCCCGCCACGCCCTGCCCACCTCTCTCCCCGACCTTGCGCCGCCACGGCCCCACCGAGCCCCACCCCCTCCCAGGTCTCGCTAGGTTCTGCTTTGCGTGACGCGAGCTCGCGCATCGCGCGGCCGTGCCCCGCCCCGCCGCGGGAGGCTCCCATAAGGCGCCACGTTGTGACTTGGGGCGTCCCCCGGTCCTTGGCGCCTGTCTGCACAAAGAGAGTCATTGAGTGGCCCCCCCTCTTTCGTCTAAAAATATGTCATATTCTAAAAATGCTTTTTTGTCCCTGTCGTTTTGAGCTTATTGCCTGTCTTTCCTTGTCCTCGTTCTTCCACCACTGGTTTTATTTCTTTTTTCCGACCGCGCGTTATCGAACGGCCAAATCTTTGTTGCGTGTCTGGGAAGGGCAGTCCTTCTGCTACACTGTCAACATCCGCCCGGGCAGCGCCGCGCCGCGCCGCGCCACGCCCCTCGTGCACGACCTCGCGGTGAAAGGAAAGGTTTGCCCGCTGCTCGCAGGTCGAATAGAACGGCATTATGTTGTGATCGCTGGTCGCGGGGGCGGGGCGGGGCGGGGCGAGGCGCCAGCTCTCATAGGCCGGGGCGCCCGCGAGTAGCTCGCTGCGCCACACAATACGCGCGGGGGACTCGCGGGTTCCTCGCCACCCACTCGATGGAATGAATAAATATATTTTTCTTGTTTTGTCTCTCAGTGATGAGGTGGGCGTGGAGCGTGTACATAACAAAAGGGTACAATTACCGTCCAAACGCTTTGCCTTTCTCGTAGTGAGCAAGTAAAATCGAGTTTAACGGCGTCTTTCCGTTTTTCTTGCCTTCTTTCCTTCGTTTTGTTTTTTTCGGTGCGCGGCAAGGAAAGAGCACGAAGGCTCACGTGCTCGTGTGTATTGAATTGGCTCGGCGTGTGCGAGTTGGCGGCATGCAGCGGCAATAGCATTGGATGGATTATTGACACGCCGGGTGAAAGCGCTGCTCGTGGCTGCGTGCTCATCACGCTCGCACGCGAGCACGCTGCTGCTGCCGGCCCTCCTCCCTACGGACATGTAACATCACCGCCACGGAGAGACTTCTTGTTGTCGACACACGGACGGCGCCGACGACGTTGCTTGTCGCATCCGCCGTGTGCCCCAGTTCCGGCGGTGGCCCCGCGGGGCGGATGTGTCGGCGTCGCGACGCCCCCAGAGTGACCGCCGGAAGTGCGACGCCGCCGCGGTGTGTGTCGCGGTGGAGATACGGCGCTGCTCAACAGGTTGCCTATGCACCGCCGCCCCGACCCTGAGACCGACCGCGACGGGCCGCCGGGATTAAACATTCAGCGTTGGCAAGTGTTGTCGTGTGAGTCTCTGTTTCGTGTGTTTGAATGTTTCCTCTCCCGCTGTTGTTGGCCGCACGGGCTTTTCTCCGTTTTTTATGATTATTTCTCGCG